TATTGTCACAAAAATCACCCTGTGACCATTTATTGGTGAATGTGTGAAAATTGGATTTGAATCAGGGATAACAGAACTTATGAAGTTTTAACTCAGTTTTATTAAGAGCAGATTGATGGTAAGTACTTCAAAGTCAAATCTACAACTTGAAATAATTCCCTTTTAAATGAAATTTTAATAAACGATCGGAGATATGACTAAATCTGGTACCTTGTGGTGTTTTCTGGTCATCTTGATTCTCCTCCTCTTCTTCATTGCCCTTTTCACCTTCCTCTTCCTTCTGTTCAGCCAGGCTCAGCTCCTCAATACCAGAACAGACTTGATCTGTGACCATTTCACCGGCACTCCGTTCCTCCTCCACACACGTCTCAACCTCCTCCTTTTCTTCCTCCTCCTCCTCCTCCTCATCAGTCTCACATTCGTCTCCATTCACCCCTTGTCCATCGTTCTCTATATCCGGTAAAGAAGGAGGAACTGACTTGTCTCCAAAAGCCCTTAAAAAAGGATATAACAAACCACACGTGCAAAGTTAACTCACCTGTAGTGCTGCACAGTGAACCCTGTAAATGTAATCTTGATTTTGGCTTCTACGATTCGATATACTCCATACTACATTTGACACAATTTCTATTTAGAGAATGACTGAATATTAAAATAATGATAAATGCGGTGGATAATTCTGCTTAATGTGATAGAAGTCTTGCTGGTTGACTTGTGATGGAAGCAGAAACATTTGTTGAAGCTCAGTCGAGGAGAACAGAGATGAGCAATACATTAAGGGCGTATTTAAGCCGATACAAAACTTACATGCCCAAACAAGGATATTCTTCATGGGACCTCAGCACCAATACATGTGTGAATCCTACACATTAAAGCAATACTTTCTTCAAGGGATGGCTATCTCAGAGCTATGACTGTTCACTCCCTCCACCCATGGCTTGGTCCATCATATCTTTACAACCTTGGTTGTTATGACAACGGCCGGAAATATGCTTATGAGTGAGGTTTAACTGTTGGGGGCTGAAGACAGGTTTAGATGTAGTCTGTTGTTCAGGAACAGAAACATTTCAAAAGGACACAGTTATCAAACAAGGAAGGTTGAGCAGGGGTCACTTTACAATTCTCAAACCAAAGACTAATAAAAGAAAACTCTATGTCATGTATGAAACCATATCTCACTGGAACAGTTTGTTTCATATCTCAACAATATAAAAAAAGAGAACTGAGAATGTTATTGCTGTTTTGTTTTACATGCTGACTGTCTACTATTTTAATGTTTTGTATAGGTTTGATGTAATTTTACTGTTGGAGGCAATGGTAATGTAATTACATTGTTCACTATAACTAGTTTAAATGTAAACCTGTTGATGATATGTATTTGAAAACAACCTATGACGATCACAATAATCAATAAACAACAACAATACACTCTCCTATCTGTCTGGTAAATTACAGCTACATCCACGAGCTGGTTATCTTAGTTTAGCATAAAGATGGAAAAAAAAAAAAAAAAGGGGGGGGGGGGGGTTATTTACTTTTTCGTTAACAAAGCAAATAAGCTTATTTCCCAATATGTCAAACTATTCCAGAAAGGTTCATTTAAACAATGTAGGAAGATGGAAGCTACTCACCAGAGATTATCCATGTACGTGTGGACAACACACACTCCTCTTCCCTTCATGCCCGAACTGTGCATCTCTGCACTGGACACTGCAGCTGTGCCGACTGCAACAGGAGCTCTACAATCAACCGGGAGAGCGGTGTCACACTTACATCCGTGAGGAACGTGTTAGTTAGTCTTTCCAAATCTTTTATTATAACCTACCTATTATTCACGAGTGTAACAGCACAGCAGTCGCCCCGTTTCACATCTGGGAGACCACTTGAAGGCACCACTACGCCTGGCAGCATGAGATCTTTGTGAAACACAGTGTTTGTTACTTTATATCAATCTTAAAGTACAGTATTAAACATCTGTCCAGGTCTTGAGCACAGAAAAAGGAGCGTACCTGCCCCTCCGATCAACTTCTGAAGCACAGGAGTCCATGTCCTTAACGTCGGCAAGAGAGCAGGGTAGCGCCAAAGCACATATACTGACAATGTAACAATGGACAGTTAAAATAAGTCACTTAAAGGAGCAAGTCATTCAACTCAGTGTAACTGAATATCTGGCTTATTACCTGTAGGATAAAGTCGTTTCTCCAGTTCAAAGAACAGTGGATTTTTATGAAGAACGTAAAGCGTCACAGCTTCTCCTTTATGTGCATAAATCTTGACTACATTTATCTCCTCTTTGTTGGGGACAAGCTCCGACAGCTCATCAGCAGAGAGTGAAGGAAAGGCTGCAGATATGTCAGCTTTGAGCTTTCTCCTAAAGGCAGCAACAAAAACAAAACTCTCATTCAGTGGGTAATGTCACACTTGTAACACCTTCTGCTACAGATACAGATTTTGCATATTTTACAGATGCAATATTTTGTTTCCTCTTTGACTGAATTTGTTGTTTTCCACACTTCCTAATCACGACGATAGCCATAAGCCATACTTTCCTCAGACTTAACAGCAACTTAATGGGACTTCCTAACAGGGTAAAATTACAAAGTAAATATGCTGTGTTTTTTTTTTTTTTTTTGCTTTCAACTGTATTTTTTTTAATACAAGGAAAGCTTACCAAAGAGTGATATCTGTGCCTTCTTTCTATGAATGTTGAATGATCTGTAAATAATCCGTCTAAGTGAACTGGAATTAGCCATGATTTACCCAATAAATGGCAATTCATCCTGGAGCTGATAGTTATTTGATTAATCAATAAGTCAGTCAAAAGAAAATTTATTGGCAACTATTTTTATAATCAAACAATTATCTAATTACTTTTTAAATAAGAAATGCCCAATAGTTGAAGGTTCCAGGTTCTCAATTGTGAGAATTTGCTGTCTATTTCCAATGGTACAACCTCATGCTCTGGGACATCATTAAGATGATTTTTGAAACAATTGGCAGATTAAGCAATAATGAAAAATAATCAATGGTTGCAGCCCCAAGTCTTCCCACTAGACATTTTCAAATGTTGTTAAAATATGAGTATGTCAGAGATTTCTGTGAAAACTCTGGCGGATGTTGGCTGTGCAGCTTTAATTTTGAAAGAAAAATCTTGTATTTAATTACAGCAAGAACAACAATCCCTAAATAATCCTTAACAACACTCCTGCCAGCTAATGAGCTGACTTTTTTCACCTCAGTCCAGATGCTGGGATTTACAGGAAATTCAAGATAGTTAAATACAGCTGGCTAGCCAAACACACACTGCTTGGGTCTGAATCTGGAGCCTCAGGGACAAAAATGAAGTTTTACGAGCAGTACACTGTTGGTATCAGGTGAGGTCTATTTCAGTGGCCTTTTGACGTTAAAAGTAGTTTGCAATAATGCCTGCATAGAAAAAAATCACGCAGGAATAAATGGCTGAGGGTAAAAGTGGCTATTCTGGTTAGAGCTGGCAGCAGGCAGCAGCACTGACTCACCTGTCTGATCCTTTGATCACGGTGTTAGATTTGACACGGAACGGTTTGGCAAACATCTTCTCAGAAAATAAACAACTACTACGACGAACTCAACGTGTCCGCTTCTCAGGTAATGTAAATGTGTCAGTACATCATCACAGATATTTTAAAACAACACCTCTGCACCGGAGACACTGACTAACATATTTCTTATTTTGGCATTGAAGTAATCAGCTGTTCCTCGTTGGGTATGATGGTCCGACACATATTTATTTCCGACGTGAAACTGCACAGCGGCAACGCGACGTAACATCAGTTCCGCATGACAAATGAAGCACGTGAATTATTATTAGAACAACATTAGTTTATCTATGTATTCATACTTCTTTTTTAAGATTTTGGGTAATATATCGCCCCCAATCCTCAAAATGTCCATCATAGTCAGTACTGAAATGTAGATGTAACCAGGTACATTTACTCAAATAGACAACTTCAGTACAAATTTTGAGGTACTTGAGTTTTTTCTTGTCATGCCACTTTATACTTGTACTCCACTACTCTCTAATGTACTTATTGCTCCATTCCATTTATTTGACAGTTTTAAGTTACTAGTAACTTAACTTTAAGATTTTTACATGCAAAACAAATGAAAAGCTTATAAAAGATTATGCTTTGTTATAAATGAAAGTAGCCAATAGTACACATAAGTAAAGCTGAAACTAATTGTCAATTAATTCATTATTTGATTGATGGAAAACGAATTGGAAACTATTCTGTTAATCATTTAAGTTATTACATTCATATTCATGCAAAAATGCCAAACATTTCTTGGCTCCAGCTTGCAACATTAGAGGAATATGAGTGATAATAATAATCTAATAATATATAATTGTGTAAAACAATTTAAGGGGCATTTTTTGCACTGAGTAGTTTTGCTTTCAACATATCAAGTACATTTTCAAATACTTTACAGTAATGGGTAATTTTTACAGTGTGAAATTAGTACTTTTACTTCAGCACAGGATCTGAATTCTGATGGTTCACATACAGATGTACTGAAGTGCATTTGAACTATGATGACCATGATATCTTAGGCAAGAAGATGACTACAAATCCTTGAACTGAGCCAAACAAAGCGATTCAAATCAACAAAGGGAGTCATGATTTCCACCTCTACATGACTGGAGCACCTTATTTTTCAGAAACATTTGCTGGCTTTATAGTCTCAAAAATCCTGAGTTTGGGGTGGCAGTGGCAATGCCCCCAATCCCCAGGCACGCCCCTGCCCGACCGTTGCACAGAGATGCTATTTTAACGTCCACCATTTCAGGCCGGAAGTTTGGGCATTTGTTTGTCTATTAAGTCATTTATGTAATTCTATATATTAAATCACACTACGCGGTGTGAAGTCCGGGGCCAAGACTGTGTGACACGAATCACAGCTGAAAGCGGACTTTCTGGAGAGTCACCCAGCCGGACACCTGTTTGTAGGAGGACTTGAGCTGTCGAGCTGTCCTGTTAGCGGTAGGCTAATATCACACAAGGGCAACCAGAGCCAACCGTTAAGTGTTATGCAGCTGAGACAGTAGCCGTTTCTCAATAGAAAGCACGCCAAGTCCGGACTCGCAGTGAGAGGACGAGAAACGCACCTGTTGAACCCAGTTGTCTCACTCATGTGTTGCCGTTAGTTAAGATGTCGAATCAGCACCAGCCGGTTTTCCCGATCCAACAACAGCCCAATCTGAACTCTGCCTCTTTCCCACAATTTTTCGTGAAGCCTTTTAACAGTGCTCTTCAAATGAGAAGGAATGTAATAACAGACGATTACCGTGTATCGAGTCAGGTGCTCGGGATGGGGATCAATGGCAGAGTGCTGGAAATATTCCACAAAGAGAATGGAGAAAAGTATGCACTAAAGGTAAACATTGTTATCTTAATCTTACTGTGCAATAATATAAACTGATATCAGAATGACAAATGGGTCATTTCATGACTCATAATTCAGACGTTTTCCCAGTTCATGTCAGGGATTTTCTTGAAAAAATAATGTGAAAATGTCTATTAAATTCATGGGATCTTGCATAATCCTATAGCTCTACTCCAAATACTCATAAGTTATGAATTTTGATGTTTGGCCCCTAAATTTAATGAATTTTGCGATTCTTTGTATGTGTATTTTAGGCCTCATGTCACTTACTTTTCACTGCATTGGGTAAAATTTTATACTGAACATAGAAGAAGCCCTAAGGATCTCTCTCAACATGTAGCCATGTAGCCTAGATAGTTGTTGCTGAATGTTTTGCAGTAATCTAATTAATAAAAATATATATTCTTTAACCTAGGATTTTTTAATTTTAATTTTCAAAAGTTAATATCTCCACTATTTTTCACTTTCTTGCAACCAAATATAGATTCTGTACATGATTGATAATGTTCTGTCACATCTAGAAGTTATTTTGTCCTGCATTAAAAAGCACTGAATGCCACTGATTCCTGCTAAATAGCCTATAGCTTTGGAGCTAAAAACACACTTTTTAAGATATTTTGAAAGATATTTTGACTGCATATTTTCCCAAGCAGGATTGTTTTAATTTCCTTGAAACTTTTTTTTTTTATGGGAAAGAAAGAAAGAAAGTTAATATTCAATGCAGGTATATATAAATTATATGGCCCTATGGATTTAATAATAGTTTTCACATGAAGAAATCCCATGACATGTCCGGTGAGTTAGTATGGAATGACCCGGCTGTATTGAGACAGGACCCCTGACGCTTTCTTTGCCAGAAATAAACATTTATTTTTTTATTGTGTGTATTAAACAGCAAAGTGGATTAGCCTAGAGACAGCAGCACATGTTGACTGTAGCATTGAAGCACCCACCCTCTTCTAATTACAGTGAAAGATATTTGATATTGGTTCATGATATGGATCAAGTCATGTGCTTGAGTTCATTCAGAGGGATGTTTTTGTATTTGGCTGTCAGGAACTTGAGTCTGTTATATATCACCTCTCACAACTGCAGTAACCTTTGCACAATCTTGCACATTATACAGACAATAACAGGAGACACACTCCGTGCATGTTGTTTGATTTTGACCTACTGAGCCACACCCCTTACAGCCAAAAATTACTACAGGTCTATGTAATATGAATTGAAAGAGGTTCATGTTGTTGTCTTCAGAGAGTGAACATTGTGCACTTGGAGCCCCTAACACTACCAGGAGCTTTTTCAGGTCTCTAGTCAAGCTCTTTTTCATTTTCAAGGTCATTAAAAAGTCAAATATAGTAATTTGGAATACACAGAACTGAGCCCAATCTGCATGTAGATTTGTTTTTGGGTTAACAAACAGCATTGTGCATTAATTCCATGCACATGCACCCAGCATTTCCTTTATCTACATGTCATTGTTTAGAGAATGATTTTCCCAGAAGACTTGGAAACTCCGTTTATGTGATTTGTGTGCAGTAAACAGGGTTAAAGTCTGACTGTTTCCGACAACTTTGTAGTAACAATCTTTGTGCATTGAGCTTGTCTGCTTTTTGTCACAGTCTTAGAACCAAACAAACAAAGTGCAGACAAGGCTGAACTCAGAAGTATCAAGCCAAGTTGAAAGTTAACAGATGCTTGTCCGTTATCTTTGATTTTAGAAAATCTGATCGTCATAGACTGCTTCCTTTTTCCCACTCCTCAGGACAGTGACTTTCAGCTAATAGCAGGAGATAACCCTGATGCATTCCTCTGGGATCAATTAGTCATTCCTGAGGCATGTGTGATGTTTATCCAACTAAACAGAAACTGTTCTCTTTGGTTCTGGAGTGACAGGCAGTATTTAGAGTTAGAGATGAGAGCTACCAGAGTTCAAGAGGTAGGGTCACTGTTGGTGCTCAGTGTGATTTGCAGATTTTTTTTCTGGTAGAAACCTGTGATTTTCTGGCATTTAGGCCTTCATGCACAACAAATGGCTCTTTTCAGGGTCTAATCTCTGTCCTGGAGTTTGTAAATTATATATTGTGCAGTTGCTCTGGCCTGACATGTTCAGGTGTCTGTTTTGAAAGAGGAGTGTTGAATTTTCCTATCCAAATGCTGCCAGCCAGAAAGAGAGAGGGGAACATGCCTGAGTCTAAAAGTAGCTTCATGCGAGAGGCCTGAGATGACTGAGAGATTATGATGTTTGCTGGGGTACAGGCAGATAGCACACTCTCAGCTTTTATTAGGCTGTGAAGGTGTTTTAAGGCGAGTAAACATGGTGAAGAAACTAGCAAATGACCAGTCTTTTTATCCAACAGTTGTTTGTCTAAGACAAGCGCAGTGATTATTGAGTTGTCTCTCTTTCGGGCCATTTTGGAGAGCCACGTATTTGTGTAGACTTCAGATGCTAATCTTTTTTCTATGAAAAACAAGTGTCTCCCACCCACTTTTCTGTGTTTGTGTGCCGTCTAGTTTGTATTTGTCAGATCCACCCACTTCAGCACCAGTGTATGGTATTTTTATTGAAAAGAAAAACACTTAATTAGTGTGAAAGTTAGGTCCAGTGCAGCTTTACACGAACTTTATTTGCCAGATTTACAGGCTGAGTTTGACTTAAAGTGGACAGACATGAGTGTGGTGAACTATGGGCCTACGGTGTCTACAGCATAAATATAAAGTTAAACATCCAGTTATAGTTTGTGACTCTTTGATTCAAGTTTGCCTTCCTACTCTGTTTCGACATGTCAAGATTCATCAGTGAACCATACATCATCTTCTTTTGCACCCTATTAAAATAGTCATTGTGGTATGATCCTGTGAGGGAACATTCTGTTACGATTTGTAGTGTGTGAGGCGGACTAATATAAATAGCAAAGTCCTGGAAGTTTCTGAATGTACCACAGTACATCTCAATGAGGTCCCCCTGAAAGACTCTGATAAAGAAGATTGTAAAATTGACATCCTTGAGATTGCTAAAAATTGATGTAGTGGAAATATCACAGAGCAATGCAACTGAAATGCAACATGCATTTATTTATTTTTTGTGTCATATAGTAGTATTAACAGCATTCAAATTATTCAGCTGCCAAAATTGCAGTATTGTCCAGATAGAGTCATCCAGCAATTACAAATATTTCAAAATAAATGAATGAGCTTAAAAAAAAAAGAGTAGGTTATTGAATAAAAAGGTTAAATATACAGTTAAATATACAGTATACCTTTTAAAATGTAGGGAAATTTGTTTAGCCCCCAAATAGGATAGATACTCTCTTATTTGCCCAGGCATGTGCAGCCTCTAACCCACAACAGGCAAGTTTAAAGGAAAACAGGTTATACTTATAGACTTATAGACTTAACCACTCTGGTGCCAATAATTGCCATGGAGCTAATTTGCAACTAGGGCTGCAACTAATGATTATCAATTATAATTAATAATATAGTACAGTAGTAGTAAAAGTATAAGTCATTTTTGGATTCTTTTTTTAATTAATTGTATATGATATATAAAATGTCAGAAAATAGTGAAAGATGCCTTTTATAATTTCCTAAAGCCCAAGGTGATGTCTTCAGATATCTTATTTTGTCAGACAAACAACACAACGCTTAAAGATATTCAGTTTACTATCATATGTCACCAAGGACACTATCAGATCTTCACATTTGACAAACTAGAGGCAGCAAATGTTTGGCAATTTTCCTTAAAAAAAAAAAAGAATAAAACAAGTATTCAATTATCAAAATAATTCATTTCAGTTAAGATCAATCACCTAATCCATTAATTGATGCAGCAACTCCCATTTGCAACTGGGGCAAAGGGTTCTTGCTGTGAAATTTATTGTTACTTGTGAAAAGCCTGAGTTCCTCAATTGCTTTCAAAACAAAAATCTGAGGAATGGGATTATCATATAGTCCGGATTCTGACTCATTATCTTGTTCTTTTTTTATCTGCTCAAAATGGCAGTTAATTTTGAGAAAACTGAAATCTCGTCATGCTTTCTGAATTATTAATTTCTGAGCTGTTGCTGTTTTTTTCCACCATGTTCCAGATGCTGCAGGATTGTCCAGAGGCCAGACGAGAGGTGGAGCTCCACTGGAGGGTGTCACCTTGCTCCCACATTGTGCCCATCATAGATGTTTATGAGAATGTCTACCAGGGCAAGAAGTGCCTCCTCATTGTAATGGAGTGGTGTGTTAGCTAATAATGTTTGTGTGATAGCATATGTTGACAAAAGTAGATTTCCGTCTCTGGACATTGTCCATCTTTTGAATGGCTCGTGGGAGTTGTGGCTTGTATTAGTTGCTCTGTGTGATGATGGAGCCAGCTTCTTTTTTTAATGCGCACCAACTGAGGTGAGTAGTTTCCACAACACTTTAGGGCAGAAAGTAATAAAAAGCAGGCAGAGGCTGCTTTGTCTAGAATATAATAAGGCAGGCGTCTACCTTATGACTTCAGCCACCACATATGAAAGAATAGCAAAATGTACTTGAAGCTGGATATGATATGATCAATATGATGTCATGATTGAATAATCCCTTGTAAATGATAAAAGTGAGTGGACTGAATTTTTAGTCAAATGGATGCAAGTGTGGAAATCTGCCAGCTACAGTAGATTTAGGTTAATAGTGTTGTACTTAAAGATCTAATTTGCAGATTATTGTGTTATAGAAAATAATCATAAAAATGACATTTTTCAAGCAAAAATGACGCTCGGATCGAAACATTCACTATTTCAAGCATCTTGTTTTCTTCATCTTATGTGATATTAAACTAAATATCTTTGGGTTTTTACGAGGGTTCAGACAAGAAACAATGCGAATCAGAACAATCGATTATAGAAATAAATGTTAGTTGCAGACCTAAGATGATGATACATGATAATATTGTATCTGAAGTCTGATACCAACCCCAGAAATTAACATGGAAGTGATTTTACACTCATTGTTATAAGTAGCCCTTACACAGCCTTGTGCTCCTGCTGCCATGTGTTATCACCTTTGCACTTGGGTGAAGCAGAGGAGACATTGCATGTCAAAGATTGAACAATTAAATTACTGTACCCTTATACCTGTACACACTCAAAATACTTGTTTTTTTTCATTTTCAGTATGGATGGGGGTGAATTATTCAGTCATATCCAAGACAGAGGGAATCATGCATTTACAGAAAGAGGTAGGAGGAAGAGATTATCATTTCTAAAGCAAAATCAAATCAACAAACGTGCTGCTGAATGTACTGTATGGTTTCATCTGTGTTTTTCTGTATTAACTCTTGTCCATGTTATTTCTCTCTCCTCTGCTTCCTTGTTATTCAGAAGCCTCAGATATCATGAAAAGTATAGGAGAAGCCATACTTTTCTTGCATTCCAACAATATTGCTCACAGAGACATCAAGGTAATACCTCACTGTCATTGTATTTGTATCTTAGACATAACCTGCAATGGAAAACAAAAATTGAGGACTATTTTTGTGGATGAAAATGAAATATCTCTAGGGATTTCCTTGAAAAAACTTGTGAAAACTTCTATTGAATTCATGGGACTTTGCAAAATCCATTAGCTCTACTTCAAATACTTATTACTTTTTGAAGTTTGGCCTTCAGAGCTTATTTTTTTTATTTTTTATTTTTTGGTGATTCTTTGTATGTGTTTTCAAAGCCTCACCAATTGCTGATTTTTCACTGGATTGGGTTGAAATTTGTACTGACTATCCAAGAAATGTGAAGAATCGTTTGTATTCATGTAGATAGTGTTGTTGCTGAATGTTTTACAGTAATTCAATTAATACAAATAATGATATTAAAAAAAAGTAATTTATTACTGGAGTGAAAAATATAAAATTAATAATCGCCTAAGTCTTCACAAATTTTGATTCTGTGCAGTATTAATACAGTTCTATCACATCAGTTGACCAGCATGATAGTGCTAAAGTAAACATCTGGACTTGCTTTTGACGTAAAGAAATGCAGATTTTCACTTTCAGTAAATCATTGAGCCTGGCTTCAGGCTCATTCAGATTTTTCTGTGAGGTACATCGACTGCAAAACATTGAGCAATTTCATGCGTAACATCCATTCATTTTGTGCCGCTTATCTGAGGTTGGGTCGCAGCAGGTCAAGCAAAGTTTTCCAGACATACCTCTCCCCAGCAATGTTTTCCAGCTCCTCCTGGGGGATCCCGAGGTGTTTCTATGCCGAATGAGATATACAATCTCTCCAGCGTGTTTTGGATGTGCCAGTTGGGCTGCTCAGCCTCCCAGGGAAAGCCTATGCCAGGCTTCTGGAAAGGAGCCTCCAACCGATTGTCGAACCTTGGATTCAGGAGGGGTGATGCAGATACCTCCCTGGCCGTGCATCAGTGGACCAACCCTCTACCGTGGCAAGGCTACTCGAGGGGTCATGTGAGTTATCCTATCCAGTCTACATGTGCTTTGTGGACTTGGAGAAGGCCTATGACCGGATCCCTTGAGGGATCTTGTGGGAGGTACTGTGGAAGTATGCGGTTCCGGGGCTGTTGCTACAAGCTATCAGTCCCTGTACAACCAAAGTGAGAGTTGTCTGTGTTCTTGACAGGAAGTCAGACATGTTCCTCGTTTGTGATTTTCATGGACTGGATTTCAAGGTGCAGCCTGGGGAAGGACTGTGTCTGGTTTTGGTGCCTCAGAATTTCCTCTCTACTATTTGCAGATGATGTGGTTCTCTTGGCTTCATCAGACCATGACCTCCAGCATGCACTGGGGTGTTTTGCAATCGAGTGTGAAGCAGCTGGGATGGGGGCAGCACCTCCAAGTCTGATGCAATTGGCGCCTTCCATTGGAGGTCTTCATATGTAACAGCTTGCTGTAATTCAAAACATTAAGTTCCCCATAGCTGGCTTTGTTTCTTTGGTTAATATCACTGGACTTCAGAGGAGGAAATCCTGCATTCATGCAGCACTTTTGCAGCACGTAGTGTTGACCTAGCTTGCATTTCATCTCTGCTAGCTGCAGATGTTGGTGTGTATTCAATCATCTGTATCTTCATCAGTTTCTGTTACAACAGTGAATTATGAGTCCTCTATCATACATGGCGCGCAACACTTCTGTCCAGGCTTGATTGACCTTCCTGTGCGTGCTGTGAGCTCCCCTGCTTTGTCTGTGTTAATGATCCTCAGTGAGTGACCCAGTTTGCTCTTGGGATGGAAGTTGAGGTGCACAACACTGTTTTTGAAGACAGCTGTATGTCACCAAAAAATAGATATATAATACGTGATGGAAACAAACTGTGGCATCATCTGTCAAGTCAGACCATCCACTTCTCAACTTCAACCGATTTTTTGTCTGTTCGCAACTCAGCCAAACTTGAAAGATGAACTTTTCCATTAGTGTAGGCTGTATCGTGACAGTTGGATTCTTCTTCTAGGCTTTTTCCAATAGAGTAGGGCTCCATGATATCACTATCACATCAAACTGCTTTATACTACTGGGTATGTTGCAATCCATTTTGCAAACATCCGCCCAAACTTTTTTCAGGTGGGATTAGCTCTGACTTGCTCTGCTGTTTTTGCATGATACTTGTTGGCAGTGTCAGAAATGTTTGAACTTTGAATAATATCTGTTGATTGAGCAAAGGAACCAAGATTAATATTTTGTCCAGACACATGGAATAAGATGTTCTAGTATGCCACAAACCCAGCCATTACAAGCTATGAAAGGAAAAACAGGCTCAATAGATCACACAGAGACAGAAAACCTTGAAGTCAACATAGTATGAATATGTGGAATAAAACCACAAATGTAACATTACAGGCAGTGAAAAGTACGAAAATTAAGCTATTTTCAAAATGAAGATTAAATGACGGAGTAATATAATCTTTATTTTTATTTCTCAACAATGAACTCGAATAAACCTTTTTTAGGTTTAAATATGCTATCATTCTGTTTTTGGTTCGTAATTGTTTTCTTTTCTTGTGGTTGATCAACAGTTATCTGAATTCTATTGTTCAAAATCTTTCTCTCTTCTTTAAGCCAGAAAACCTGCTGTACACCTCCAAAAGACCAGATGCCCTCCTTAAGCTGACTGATTTTGGGTTTGCCAAAGAAATCACCACATTAAACTCATTGGCAACGCCATGCTTTACCCCCTACTATGTCGGTAAGACCAACTGCCGTCTTTAGTTTTATGTTTGCCATACAGAGATGCTGCTGGATGTAATTTCATATTTACTGCAAAGATATGAGAATGGCATTGATCTCTACTCACCTAACTCTCAGTAGGAAAGTGAATAAATGTGTTTCCCCGACTGGTCTCAGCTGCCCCAATATTTACTGTAACATTTTTCCTCGATTCATCCCTCCTACATAAGCTTTGTGGTGTTTGGCAGTCACAGCTGTGAACATGCGTTTTTGTTTTGATGAGGATCAAATTGAATTTCGTGAGTTCGTGATTAGGAGGAATTTTGGACCACTATAGAACTGCTTCAGCTCAGCCATATTCTTAGGATGTGTGATGTGAGCGGCTCTCTTCTCTACTGGATTAAGGCCTGCATGTTGTCTGGGCCACTGCAACAGGTGGATTTTCTTTGTTTGAAGTCATTCTGTGGTAGATTTACTGTGTTGTTCAGGGTCAATGTCCTGCTGCATCAGCCAACTTCTACTGAGCTTCCACAGATGGACAGCCACCCTGAGATTATCCTGTGAGATACCTTGATAAACGCTTGATAAATTCATTTCCCCTTGATCATGTCAAGCTGTCTCGGCCCAAAGTCAGCAAAGCCCCAAATCTTGATGTACTTCACTTTTGGGATGATTTTTGCATGTTGGTATGCAGTTCCCCTTTGACATCATACATAGCGCTGCATTTTCTTCCCAAACAATTCAAACTTTGAGTGTGTCACGCTGCTTTTTGGCAATCTTCAGGGGCACAGCAATCTTTTTTTTAAAGAACAGAGGCTTCCTCTGTGGTGTCCTGCCATGGATAACATGCTCCATGCAACCATGCACCATGTTTTTTGTGTGGTCGACTCATGAACAGAGATATTAACCAGCTCCAGTGTTTCCTTTAAGCCTTTAGCAGTTACTCTGATGTTCTTTGTCACGTTACTGATCATTCTGCGTTGTGCTTTTGGAGTCATCTTAGCTGGGGGCCCACTTCAAGGGAGAATAGTCACAGAACCAAATCGTCTCCATTTATAGACAGTTCATCTGATTGTGGACTGATGAATATCTAAACCCTTTCAGCTTTATGCAAATCAACAATTCTTGATCATAAGTCTTCTGAGACCTCTTGTTTTGGGAGGAATAGTTCACATCAGCATGTTTCTTGTGAATAGCAAACTCAAAATGTTTAAGTATTTCTTTTACACATCAAAGTTGCTCTAACCCACACCTCCAATCTGGTTCCATTGATTGGACCCCAGGTTTTATTAATCCTGACTCCAGTTAGTTTTTGTAAATGCCATTAGCTGAGGGGTTCACACACTTTTTCCAGCCTAGATTGTGAATGATGTTTTCAATATGGACAAGAACAATACAATGTGTGTTATTAGTTAGAATAGATTGCGTTTGTTTGTAATTGTCACTTCTTCTTGTAACTAAAATCTGACTGTGTTTTAGGATAAATTTATACATAAATGGAGGTAATTCCATTTACTAACTAACTTACTTACTTTTTCTTGCCACTGTACTTTAAAAATTGTCTTCTGGTGAGTGCAAAGCATTACCTAGTTGTCTGGGGACTGCACAGAACATACTATTTTGTGTAATTATGAGACTGTTGAGGTAATTATGTATGTAATTGTGCAATGTGTAATTATGTAATTGCAATATACAAGTGACTGGCATTTTCTTGACAGTGTCAAGTTTTTGATAACCAGATTTTTAATCGTCACGTTTTTGCCACGTGTTTTTCAAACTTAACTTGACCCAGTTGTTTAGTTCAGTGCTTTCCCTGAGGGAACGTAAAATAAAAAAAAAATCTGCAGGCAGTTTTCTTCCTGTGGAAAATGACTAGACAAATGTGGGTTATTAGACTTTACATCCTGTGAACCGGTTGGAAAATCCTACTTATGCTACCTTTAATAACCTGGTTTTTCTTTGTTTTTTTTTGCAGTCATCTGTCTTATAGACTACATAAGACCTTAAAAGTGAAACAGAAGCAATTTCTCCAGTCCAATTTAAATAATTTCTCTTGACACTGTGGCAGCTCCAGAAGTTCTTGGTCCAGAGAAGTATGACAGATCCTGTGACATGTGGTCTCTGGGTGTCATTATGTATATTCTGTAAGTGAATCAGTGTGGTGTGTTTTTGTGTTTTCTGTAATTTTACTATTTTCATGTCTTTCACATTGAAGGTTCCCTAAACAATTGCTGCTTGTCATCAGGCATTTCTTTCTGTCTTACACACAGACTTTGTGGATATCCTCCTTTTTTCTCACATCATGGTCTCGCGATATCCCCAGGGATGAAAAGACGGATACGTAACGGACAGTATGAGTTCCCCAACCCAGAGTGGGCCGATGTGTCTGAGGAAGGTGAGAGGGACGCATGTCAGAAATTCATTTTTGGTCATTTTTCAGGTTTCTATCACTGTCTAACTTTTTCCTAACCTTTTTGAATGGTTGTCTTTAGGAAATGAGCAAAACACAATAAAGCATGATGATAACTCAAAAAGTAAAGAAGCTACAACACTGAAACCTGGTGAAAAGCTTTCCATACTTCACCTTCTCAATAATGGTAGAGATAGCATCACCATGTGGTGAGAAATCAGCTTCCAAATATCGAAAAAAATGTTTGGCTGATATCTTGGAAGAAATCTGGTGTCCTTGGATTCGGTGGATGATGCTGAAGAGACTGATACAGGCCATGCTCATCCGTGGCATCAAAATGCCTTTATGAATTTTTTGCTAGACAGATTTTGTCTCCTTCTCTCGTATCTTTTATCCAAACTTCACCAAGCTGGAAACATATCATGTTTGGATGGCCCAGAACATTGCCCATACATTAGATTTCATTTTTTCCATGATTAGCTTTTTCCATGATAAACCTTTGCGGGTGTGGTCAAACCCAATCAACCTGCTGTAACTTTTGAATGCTTCATCCAATTGCAACCAATTTACGCTCAAGTGTACAGACTGAGACCATGAATAAGAATGACGAGTTTCATGTCATTTCGCCGCCAGGGGCCGCTATGTTAACAGTAAAACAAACATTGCTTACTACAAATAGCTACTCTGAGATCCTGATGGCTAGAAAGATGGTTCCACTTTTAAAATGTCAAGCATGACTTGGCCATATGAGTTTTTTAAACAGTTTGTTGAAATCTATAATAAATTAGTTGAATTGTGAATTGAAAATTGTAAAGGTTACAGAAATGAAACTTGTCAGACAACTGGCATATGAAGGAATTCTTCACATCGTAGACAATCGTTGCGATGGCACCACCAAGTGGACAGTTATTGATGTTTTTTGTTACAAATACTTTTATACCTATATTATTTCACATATGTTCATGTCCCTTGCTTTGACCATGATAATGTCCTTTTTGACACATCACTCACCAGCAGAGATGGCAGCAGATTGAGCAATCACATGCATTTTCCTTTTATATAACATTCATTTAAATGTTTTCATAGGAATTGTCAACCAGACTGATTACATTTGGAAACAACAACAGCCCGTGTATTTACAGCCACTGGATGATTTTCAAGGATGTTGCTCATGATAATGGGAGACGCATGAACCATGAACGATGATGATGATGATGATGTTGATGATGATGATGATGATGATGATGATGATTTCCTGTTGCAGCCAAACAACTGATCCGCCACTTACTGAAAACCGAGCCCACCCAGAGGATGAGCGTCACAGAGTTCATTAACCATCCATGGATTAATGTAAGACTCCCTGTCGGCTTGAAACTGTTGAATTAGAGCAACTGCTGGTTTAGAACAATGTTCGTGAGATTTGGTAAACACCATATTCTCTTAACACCGCAGCGGTCCGTGGAGGTGCCACAAACGCCTCTTCACACCAGCCATGTGCTGCATGAGGAACAAGACGTCTGGGAGAAAGTTAAAGTAAGTGTTGGTGATGTTCATGCGTGTAACTTTTTTGCAACTTCTTTAAAAGGTAGGAGAAGCTTTGATGTCGGACGAACAGTTTTGCAGCTCTTATAGTGTTTTATGCAGGAAAACAGCTGTCGCCAAAAGAAAAAAAAAGACGCTGCTCTTGATTTGTTTTTATCTGTTGAAAAATTGTGAGTGGGTTGAGTAAAAGGGGGTTGAATTTGACATTATGCAACAGTTTGTTTTCGATTTGGATATTTCATGCCTGAATCTGTCACAAAATAATGAAATCCATATATAGATATATAATATTTACTTAAAACTGGATGTGCACATTGAGTGTAGTCCAGCTTTGGTCTTTTTGATAAAAGTGATGTTTTTGTTGTTGCTGTTGTTGTTGTTGTTGTCATTAGGAGGAAATGACAAATGCCCTGCAAACGATGAGAGTGGATTATGATCAAATTAAAATCAAAACTATTGAAGACTCAACTAATCCTCTCCTCTTGAAGAGAAGAAAGAAAACTAAAAACTCAGCCACACAACCTCCAGGCTAGCGATATAAAGACTTTTATAAGACTTTTAAAAGGTATTTTGTTTCACACAGACACACCAGCACACATGCATAACATTTTTGAGAAAAAAAGCTTTCAAGAGGAACTTTAGGAAAACAGGAAATGCTTTCAATGCTTTTGTGATATTTTGTAGCTGTTTTTATTTCCATCTGTTAACCTCACATGATTTTATTCTCAAAATTTGAAAAAAGGAAATGCATCTTGGCATTTTGTAAATGTGAATTAAGGACTCTTTCAATGCATGCATGCTGTATGTACACTGAGGCTTATTCCTACGTCCTATGACTAGTATATATGTGCTGCTTATTACGGCAGTTCTTAATATTTCGATATACATGCTTAATATGACATTTGAGTAAGCTTTGTTGGCAACTCATAGATTATTTCTGGGCTGTCTTTTGGACTGCTAGTCTGTTCTGAGTGCTGAAAACCATTTAAACTGAATTTTTGCCTTGAAGGTGTCAGGGGTGAGAAAGTTTGCCAGTGTCATTTATATTTGTCTATGAAATGACTCATCACCAGAAACCGCAACTTTTGTTTTGTAAGCTAAAGTAATGTCAGAAGCGTTTCTCCTTGCCAGAAAAAAAGGACTTTTGCTTTTGTGCATTGTGTATTGTGGCAGTGCAGTATCTAAAACTTACTTACCATCTGTACCAATAATCACGTTTGCTATGCCTACGAGACAGTTGACATAATTGGCTTCTTCGTGCTTGTGTAGCATTCATTTTCCCCAAAGCAGTAATATAAAAGTAGTGCATGAAGGCTGTTATGTGAACGCCATGGAAAGAAAAGCGGATGGCTGTAAACCTTTAGATCAAGGGACTAGTGACGAGAAGTGCAGTGGAAAATGTTGCGCAGCACTGTTGTCCTGTCTGTCTCTGTCTCTGGATTAAATGTCTTGATATTCTCTGTGGTTTCGCGTGTTGTTTGATCAGTTAGCCATTCATCATTAGCATCTAAAGTCAAACAAATGACCAGCCACTCAGATTTTTTTAATAAATAAAGGACATTATTGAATGAATGGGTGAATGGAAAAGTCACTACAGTTGTTCTAGATGTTTGACTTTGATAACCCCCTAAAAGTTGTAGAGTTTGCCATTAGCTCCACTGCCTTCTGTTCACAAAGGTCTCCTTTCCCCTATTACTAATGCATATGTTTTTGAGCATACAGACTGTGGTGAGGTTTCAGTAAAACAGCTGACTGCACATTGTGTAGTGATGTAGTTGTGGCTATGTAAGAATAATATTTCTCATAAAGTCCATGACATTTTTCAACTGGACTACAACTACATGTGGAGGGCCAAGTAGTTCATCCTCAACTAAGTTACACATTAAAGAAGAAAATCATCTGAAAAGTGTTGAAGTGATGGTGGGAAGCTCAAAGTGAGTGAGAGTGACCTGGCCGTCTGCAACCTTTTTAATGCGGGAAACATTTGCTCAAGGCGAAACGTCTTTAAGAAAATGTTAGCGTGCTCAGCTTAGTGCCATAGCATTCAAGAGATAATAACCGATTTATTTAGAGGTATTTTGTAAACTTTCATAAACTGAAGTGACAAGTGTTGACCTATTGGTGGTCCTGGCAATCCATCCAACTGTTAAGGAATATCTACAGCAGAACCGTAATGTGGCCAAAAATGCCCTCAGTCTAAAAAACTAGCATGCTAAAATGTGTGGTTTAAGTTAGTTAATGGATTAAATAAATCAAACATAGTATAGTTAACAAGTATATTCCTTTAGATTGGATACATGCACATACTCAAAAACCACCACTCTCTCATCTGTTTTTTAAGGATTCTCATGCAGAAAATACACAAATCTGTTTCAAATTAACATACTGTTTTCATTACAGTCTCTCCCATCTCTAGTTTCTTGTTAAAGATACTCAAGACAAGAGAATAGTTTAGCTTTACCTTATGGTACAGCTCACGACAGCGGAACAGCTCCAGGCTGAACGTTTATTGTGTGCTATGGTATAACTGGAACTATATAGGCTCCTCAAGCTGTACTTGGATCCTTGAATAAATGACGCCCACATTTGATTTGAATGATTTAAACATGATGTTCTAATTACGAGATAATATTTTCAGCTTTTGCATCCTGTTTTAATTCAGATTTTCTTTTAGAGACACACACACAGAAAACAACGCTGTCTTGCCTGACTAAATGGATTAACGGGGGATTTGGACATTATTTGATCATAACGCGATGATAAATCCAATATCAAAATTGTTTTTATTGAAACTTTAATTTCCCCCACTAATTACCAATCCTTTGGATAAATTGGTCTGGAAGGATTTCCATTTATAATTAATGTTGACAGCACAGTTATAACACAATGCACAATGATAGGCATTATTTCTTTAAATATAGAATAACATCACTTGGGAAAAAAATTTATATTTACTGTTACATATTTGGCCTTACTTTTATGTGCTATGACTAAAAACCTGCCAAGTCCTTTTGCAAAGAAGTTCCATCTGTGTTTCCTCAGGTTCCCTCTCCCCTCAAAGGGGATGTAATTGTTTCATGATTAAGCTCTATTACTCACTGTACGACTTCTATTTTCAAATCAGCATGTTGTTTTGCGTTTTCTAAAAGAGGGGAAGCAGGCTGGGGAAAACAAACGTAATTCCTGAAACTCTGCCTCCAATTCCTGTTCTAGTGAAAGAACATGAATGGTGAGGCCCTTTCTGAAGACAATCTGCAGGATGTTAATGGCTCTTCTCTGGCTGCAGGCGCCAGCACAAACATATGTTAACTTTCTCCCCAGCTTGAACACTGTAATTGACAAAAGTATAGTGAGTACCTGGAGCAGGCAGGGACAAGAGAAAGCAAAGAAAAAAAAATGTTTAAGGAGAATGATGGTGAACAAATAACAGGGTTTGTCAGGCTTTTTACATGTTGAAACATACATATGTATATAATAGATGAAAGCATGCTGCGACTTAAAGGTTACATTTTATACTATAACTAAGCTGCATTGTTTTATGTAAGAAATAACACTCCATTAATTATAGCGTCTAGTCTGGATCGTTAATTTTTCTATACCATAACCCCCTAACTGCTCCATAGCCTCCACACCACAACAATAAACAGCAAACCAGACATAGAGTGGCCGTGCTAATGATAAGGAATGACACAGTAAGAGAAAACAAGGCTGTTAAAAAGCAGATGTCTGTACCAGTTCACAGATGGGATTGATACTGACATGGCTGGAGGTGATATGGTGTAGTGTAGGTTCAACATGCAAATGGAAAAATGTATGTGCTCCAATGAGACTGGGTGGCTGGGGCTCCAGCTGCGAGGAGAGGGGGGATATTTACTCTATACCAACAACATATTCTGCTCAGTCTGAGAAACACACAAGCAACGTGAGCAAGGAAGGAGGCATCGTCTCTGATCAACCAACTGGTAGGTATACTGTACCTACTTTACTTTTAAAAAAAGAGGAGCAAAGAGAATACATCTCTACATGTCCTGGTGTACTGTAGTGTTGGTTGCAAAATATTTCATATTATTCATATGATTCTGTCTTGGGATTGGGTAATCATGAAATATCCTAAATGTGATGTCATGATAACTCTAAATTACATTTTTTTTTTCCCTGGGTTTTCTATCAGTGATCATGCGGACAGTGGTGCTCCTCCTCATAATGGGAATAGTTGATCTGAGCATCAGCCAGCGTTACAGCCAGTTCCAATGGCTGTCACATCTGCGAGGGCGGCGGTGGCACGCCAGCTGGCAGGCCGAGGAAGTGGACTGCCCCCTGGAGTGCGACTGCCCCTCAACCTTCCCCACAGCCATGTACTGTCACAGCCGCAACCTTCAGCATGTTCCCTACGTCCCCTCACATATAAAGTATGTCTACCTGCAGCGTAACCAGATCACAGGCATCCAGGATGGGGTGTTTGACAACGCTACCAACTTGGTCTGGGTTGTGTTGTTTCACAACCAGCTCAACTCAGACAAGATCGGCAAAAACGTCTTCAGCAAGCTGAAGAACCTGGACCGGCTGCTCCTGGATCACAATGAGCTCACCCGTGTGCCTTCTAACTTGCCCAAGTCTATCACAGACCTGCGACTTGGTCACAACGAGATCTCGAAAATCCTCCCAAACTCGTTTGATGGGATGGCCGACCTCACTACCCTTCAGCTCCAAGCAAATGTCATTGAGGATGTTGGAGGTGTGTTCAAGGGATTGAAGTCTCTGACCATGCTGGATATGAGGAAAAACAAGCTGAGGAAAATCCCTGACAACCTCCCTGAGCAGCTGCAGCAGCTCTACCTGGAGTTTAATAGCATAGAAAGTGTGCCGGTAGGCTTTCTCACCATGTATCCCAAACTGCAGTTTGTCCGTTTGGCTCATAACAAACTGACAGATAGAGGACTTCCATCCAGTGTCTTCAATATCAGCACACTGGTTGAGCTTGACCTGTCCTTTAATAAACTGGAGAAGATCCCTGTTGTCAGTAGGAACCTGGAGAACCTTTATTTACAAGCCAATAAAATCAAAGGTATGGATACATCTGTTACTTTTAGTCTTACAACTTTTTTTTTATTGTGAAGCTAGTCTTAAACTGTATAAATGTTGATTTAAATGTTTTGTTTGAAGTTATTATGGCTTAGTACCCTTAATGCCATTTTGAAGGTTGACTCTGCAGCCATAAATTCCAGTGCTGAGCTAAAGTTATGCTAACTCAGGAGTAGTTTTTATAATTGGGGTGGGTCAGTCAGTGGGACACACTGTACTGCTCACTGAACAATTAACAACACACATAACACACAGATCTTCAATGGCCGAAAGTTTGGTTATAAGTTGAAACTTGTTTTTTTGACCTTCCTCCACTGGACTTCGCGAATTTTAGGCGAAGATTGATTTGATTACCAAAATATGGTTTGTCAGTTGAAGATGTAGTGTTTGGTTTTATAGAACCTATACTAATTTTCCTCTTGTACTATAGGTTGTGGAACTTAAGTGAGCCCAACCTGCCCGCCCTCTAGTGATTTATCGCACCGCAGTTGCCTGTGTAATTTTGAACTACAGTGAAGTTCATACATGCACCAGTTCATCCATATTGTTTCTAGCTGCCTTGTTTTAACAGAATCATTCAGCTGTATTCTGTAGATCAACTTCATTAGACGACACCTAAAGCAGGATTTTCAATTTTTGTGTGTGTGTGTGTATGGTGTCATTGGAGTGCCATAAAAAAGAATACATTGATACATTTGATACATACATTGAAAACAAAAAAAGGGGAGGTTTGAATAAAAGAATAAGTAAATTTAATATGGAAATTTAATGGGAATAAAAATACAAATAACCAAGTAAAAGAAAAATTATTAGAAGCTTTTTAATTTTTTTCACATTTATTTCTTCATTTATTTCCGTATATTTATTCATATATTTTAAAATATATAATTTGTTTATTTCATAGAAGTTACTTTTTTCTGTATACTGTGTTTGGCAGAAGTGGAACAACGGTTATTTTAACTTAAGGCATCCCAGATGTCAGCAGTTTCCCTCAGTGACTTTAAAACAGCCTTCTCCATGCAGATTACCAGAAAATACCTGCTGCTCAGAGGAAGCAAATCATTTTCTTCCCTCCCCGATTCAAAGTTTAACTCAAGCTTCCAAGTCTGCATCGCATCTATTCTCTGTTGTCTGCGGTAAAAAGCTCCCGCCAAAGCAGGATTCATACATGCAGGAATTTCAGTACTGAGCCTTGGCAGGAAGGCCCATCCAATGCCATTGCTTGACAGCTTGGCCCTTCAAGGAATAGCAAAAGTAATAGCAAAAAGCAATAGGAACAATAATATGAATAAGGAAAAAGGGATCAAAATAAATAAATTACATTATATAAAATAAATAAATAAAACATAAATAAATAGAAAAAATAGAGTAATTAATGTGCAAAAATTAAATGAATATATATTCTGTCTTCATATTTTCACATTTATTTATTCTTTTATTTATGAATTTATATATAATTACATTTATGTATTTTATATATTTGTTACTTTTGATGGCACCCCTAGGACTCCATACTATGTCACTCTGTACCCTGACAGGGTAGAAATTTTCCATAAACACTTTCCTCAGTGGAAGCTCATACACAACACAAGAAAAAGCAAACACTGTAAAACAAAGTTTAAAATAGATTTTATGAAAATGAAGACATCAGAGAAAATACTGGCTCAGTGTACTTAAAAAAGGGGAGACATTTTTATTGATGTGATGTTGATGTGTGATGTATGTTATTCTGTGGCTTCCAGAATAGATTGGTAATATAGAAATGTTAGAGCCAAGTCTTGCCTTCTAGCACAGAATATATTTAAAAGTCCCAGGCGGAATATACTGCAGTATTCAGTTTTTGGCTAGACTGCAAATGTGGGGCCAGCCCTATAAACGCAAATGTCCATGACTGGCTGAATGAGTGACTGAGTGAGTCATAAGGTTACACCATTGTAGTTTCCCCATTGGCCATTGCTCTTTCAAAATTAATTAGTTTGAACAAGCAGTGTTACTAACTTAGCACATTTGTGACTGAATTTACCGACTTTTCAGACTCATTTAGTGACATTTTTGCAAAAAAGTACCTAGCAATAAATCTAGCAACTTTTTGGAAAAACCTTATCTACTTTCCAGAGAAGCAAATTATGAGTATTACCCTGCGATTGAGATGCACACCCGTGTCTGTGTCCACTTTGTTCAGTGAGTGGCAGAGAGGCGGAGCAGCAGCTTGTTACCCAATCGGAGTCTGTATGCTGTGTGAGAGACAAAATAAGAAAGATATTCTGCTGCTTCTAACTTTCTCTCTGAGTGATCATTTTACAAGTACATATATCTGAAATCACAGCACAGCTGTTGTCTTTAGCAAATGCGTATTGCAACTTTGCCAGACGACGTCAGAGTTATAAAATCAGGATTATAGCAGGGCAGAGCAGCAGCTTTGAAATGGCTTGGAAGTGACTGCTAGTTAACATGTTGTATTAATGAGCCGTGTTTCAGTCAATATTTCATATTTGTTCTGTTGTCTGAGAACACAAACAGAAAAACATGTAAATGACAACAGCTTTATTGGAAATATTTATTGGCTGTATTAAAATACTGTCTATTTGACCACAGAGACTAGGGGAAAAGCAAACAGATAAAGACTGACACTGAGCAGAATACAAATATGACGAGACGACGTCAGTTGTTTACAGCGGTTCCACAACAGTTTTCAAATTCATCCTCAAACATTGACCATCCACACGGTCCAGCTATAAACTCTTGTATTAAAGTTGGCTTGGTTTGATAACGTGTGACGTGAATGCATCTGTTTGCTGCTTGACTCACAGACTGACAGTGAGACAACATGTAGCCTCCCTTTATATTTTCCTCTTGTGTCTTTCAGAGTTTTCCCTGAGAAGTTTCTGCAGTACAATCGACATGACAAACTTCTCCAAGCTGAGAATGCTTCGCCTCGATGCCAATGAGATCAGTGCCAGAGACATTCCTGCTGAAGCTGCCTACTGTTTGCGCCGTGTTGCCTTTATTGATGTGTAGCCCTTGCTCGTCTCTCTTGCTGATGTGTCTCAACTCAATCCAGGGCGTTTCTCCTTCTGTAACACTCATACCTCATGTCACCTGTCACTATATTTACTTCATGTCAGTCACTGTCCTCTCTATCAAAACATTTTTGAGATAATGTTTTGTTAAACTGTTATAAGAGCTACTATCATTATTATTCCAAATGTTTAAACAGTCCTAGCATTAGTCAACGGGAAATACCACAGTTGTATAATCATGTATCCAGATGATGGCAAATGGATGACAGAGGGATGACAGACATCCGTTCAACAAACTAATTAGATTATCAGTTCCAGTATTCTGGCGAAAATAATTCTCCATAAATACGTTGTAGCTGATGACAACAAGTTCTGCTTGTGTCATGTCTGGCAATGTATAACCTGTATAAAACTGCCAGTCATCAGTGTGAGATTCAGTTTGGCTATTTGCCTCCACCATGCGGCACAGGATGATAAAACAGTAGGTTGAGCAGTGACGATTTTCATTATCTCCCCCAAGGAGGTTATGTTTGTTTATTTGTCATCAGGATTATGCAAAAAATACTGAACTGATTTGGACCAAACTTGGTCGAGGGATGGGGCCTAGGCAAGGGAAGAACCCATTAAATTTTTTTTATCACTGTGCCTTACCATTGCGAAATAGGGTGTTCTTTGACATTTTTGTCAATATTTGGCCTCGGCGGACGCCATTCTAGTTGTTATTATTTGGTAAGGCCATTTTTTAACCTACAACCAGTGCATACTTAATAAACAGTTTACTATTTGTTGTGACATCTTTAGAATAATTTTACTTTAAAAACTGCTCATAAATTTTCCATCAACATGTAACATTTAAAGTTAAGTGATCAAGTGTTTTGCTAACCATATGTCATTACTGTGTTAACTCTTATCTAATGTTTCAGTTGTTTTTTTGGGTTTTTTTTTTGGGAACTCTGTTTCAGTAACTCACTCACTTTTGAAAGATTTGTGCAGGTTGTAATTTCTGAGCCAGTGCACATTGTACTGTATATCTCATAGAAATATGTACTTGACAGAGAGATTGACAGAGAAAGTCAATAAGCTTATACCAGGATTTTTAACCTGTGACTTGACATGACGATTTATATCAACTTTGTGAAAAAACTTTGAATAATGCATTTTTGTATAAAGTGAATTGTTATCACTTTGTACCTATTATTACATCTGAGTGGGGAAAAAAACTGATATATTTTTAGCATCAACAAAATGTTCTGTTTCATCTAATTTGAAAATAAAAGAGGCAGAGAGGATGGGAGAGAGAAAAATGCAGCAGCCCTATTAACAATTCTAAAAGGACAGCTCCTACGTATTTATTGTTGAGGACAACTTTCCTTTTCATCTTCCACAGCTGCCTTTAATCCTCTGCAGAAAGGCACTAAATTGAATTATAGAAATACTTTCCTTGTTTGGTAATTGAGCAGTGTCTAGGGATGAAGAATGGATTACTGCCAGTGCAACAGTGGTTTGCACACTGATAAGCGGTAGCCTGTGAAATTAAGTGAGTTATAGATCATGTTATATTGCAGGCTGCACACAGTTCTGCAGAGGCTGTGGGGTAGGGCTGTGTTGTTTTTACTCTTCTGCTTCCTACACAGTCTCTTCAAAAACAAAGCAGAGGCTAGCACACATGCACATGATGACATGTCGGAATCTTTCAACATGATTTACTAATGTGGTCTTCTTAGGCTGGACCATCACTGAGTAAACACTGGTGAAAGTCATGACAGCATTAGGGAATACACATACACTGCCCTCCTTCTCTCAGTCAGTGTTATTCTGTTACATGTAGTAATGATTAAATGTCATATATGCATATGTGTAAACTGTAGTAGCATGTTAGTCCCACCAATTCCTGTCCTTCCCTGTGCAGTGAAGACATTACTTATGAAGCTGCAGCAGCGACTGGTGTGTATCTATCGAAATTGTTTCTCCACCTCTCTGCAAGTAACAACAACTCAGTGTGTTTGACCAATAAGAGAATATTCTCCAGAGTTCATGTTGAAACTATTAATACTGTTTTGCAATGAAACTTGATATAGAAATCTTTGGTCATAACTTTGGTCATATTTTAAACATTAAAATTGAATTACTTAAAAGTTGGCTCCATGAAGGCTGTGTATTGATCAGCAGTGTAAGCTGATAATCAAGGAAACTAAGCTGCTTTCCAAAGCAGTGGGAAAGACTGTTTTGGCAAGGATAAAAGCATTTTTGACTCCTCATAAAGTGTTTAGTCAAACAGGATGTACGCTTGTAGGCTAGGCTATTAAGTGGCCTAAATCCCTTAATGAGGCCTTTACCTGTTCTTTAGATGGGATTTCATGAGGTGTTCATAAAAACCTGTGACAGCATATTCACATCACCCACACACACACTTTAGTTATGTCCCTCACTTGTAAATCGCTTTGGATAAAAGCGTAAATGTAATGCGAAAAGTGTGTTACATTACATATATACATATAATGTAATGTAAATGTATATACAAACATATATACTGTATACATGTGTGTGTATATATGTATATACATACTGTGTGTGTGTGTGTGTATATACATACTGTGTGTGTGTGTGCGTATAGTTATTGGATTTAATGTGGCTGATTAGTATATGAATGCACTGGTAGCTGTACAGCTGGAGAGCATTACAGTTTGGATTTAGTATTGATGGTTAACTTTTATTATCAATACGGTAATTGAATAGAGTCAAACTAATAAATAACTTGTGGAACTGTTTGGCAAACAACATTACAAACAGTTGGTTAAGTGGCAGCAAATGGAGACACATTATTCAACATTCATAACTAGTGTAAAAATAAAACTTTTTTGTGAACTGGAAAAGATATCTGCAAAAGATAACGCATAAACATAATATACATAGCATATTATTCCAAATAAGGTCCATCTTTGCTTTCAGTCAAAGCGAAGCTTCCGATTAAACAGGAGAGCCTGATACATTACATACAAGGTAGTGATATGAAAACTTGTTCATGATGGATAAAATGTACAGCTTCACAAGTGTTCCGTCTGCGGCTGCAGCGTTGTGCTCTTTACCACCTGAAGGGAGAGAAAAACACTCAAAGTACAAAGAAATATAAACACATACAGGTGTGTGCACAACCGTCATACGTTACATTGAGGCTGACGCATGTGTTTGTTTAAGACATTTAATGTCTGCCAGATCCAGCTGTTTAACTGACCATAACATTTGATATAGGTTAGAAGAATACTCACATTATTGTGGCTCCATCTCTATGTCCTGCAGGTCTCTGATTTAATCCAGATGACAAAGAGATCCATTAGGATGACTTCAGTAAAATGGAAAGACCAATCATTTTTAATTTTATATTTCAGTATGTTCTTACCTTGAGTTTGTGTAAGATCTTGATCTGTGAGGGTTGTGAGTTCTCTGTTAAGGACAAAAAAAAGACATTATGAAATGAAACCAATGCACACATAGGGTGAGTAACTACAGCGTGAGTGACAAAGTAACAAACACCTCATTTTATTACATTTTGAAGTGACTACGGTAAATCACTTGATAAAATGCTAGAGTTCTAACTCATGAAAGAGCGAGAGGCAGGCGACTGACAGGGTTGTGTGCGAAGGTTGAGACAAAATAACTGTATTTTGCCATAATTTAGGAAAGATATGACAGAGTTGGAACATACTGAGCACATAAATGGACAGGCCAGTAGAAGGTAATTCTGCAAGAAGTAGAAAAGTCTCTATGAGTGATTCAATATTTTTTTCCACTGTTAAAACTTTCATTATTATCATTATTGGAATCTGTTATAACCGCTGTGAATCCAAGCTGCTGCCACTGCCTCCATTCTCCTTGACCAAATAAACTTTTTATAACCACCTTTCAAGTTAACAGTGAAAAGATACATTTGTAAAGTCCTTGGTAGTGTGATGTTTATGAAGTTATTTTGTCTCACCCCTGTAGACAAACCAAAGCAAGATCTTGGTGGGTGGGGTGTGACCCAAGGTGGGTCACAGGCCATGAGGATTTCAGTGAAAATAAATATATTCTTTGAAGTCTTTTCAGTGTAGCACTTAGGGATTTGGACTCACTGCAGGCAAACTGTGCAGTAGTGATGGGAATTCCAGGTCTGCTGAAAGAGGCAGCTCTGGAGACTAACAAGAGTCGTATGTCTGGCTCCTGGTTGAACCTTCATTCAGTTATGCGCTTGCCTCCAGTAAAGCTTTGATATTAACACTGCCATATTGTCCAGAAATTATACAGATGGACAGAGCTTGCATGCATCAGAGACAATTTACAGACAAGTTATTTTTTGAACTCACTCAACTTGTTTCAGCCTATATATTTAGACACAGTCTAGAAAATGTTTGACCATCTGCCTTTGCACGGGACACTAAATTCAACTACATGGACTAATTTGTTTGTCTGGACAGGATTTCTCCTTGCACATATACTCAGAAAATGTAATAGACCAGCTGCATACTGTAATTACACTGTTCATTCAGCTGACAGACATGAGATGGCGTGGTAGTTAACTGTATTGGCCAATGCATGCTTCATGGCGACAGAGCAAATACGGAAACCAACATAAACATGCCAGTTCTTAAACAGAATATTCACAGACATGCATCTGCCCAAAGTAACGTGTGATTTCCAACGTTGTCCATTTCCTCACACAGCATTTAATCTCATGCATTCCTCTGTAGTCACACATTCTCACTAAGCGCACAGATGATGTTAATTAAAGTCAGAGAGGGTTTACTGCTTAGATCTTAGGCTTTTAGGGGCACTTGGCAGGACAACATTTACCCACACACTGTGGCAGAACGGAGGATAGTCAGGAAATAGAATTAGCAGGGTCATAGACAAAATCTGCGGGGGGAAAACATGGCTTGCAGGATATCAATAGCGTGCCACAAGTGGAGCATGATCCACCTCATCGAGCATTTTAATGTGGTTAATCTCTATCAGTCTATGGTATTCACTGCCAGCCATGCAGCATCGCTCCTGATGCTGCTGATATGTCACTGCGTGCAACTGGCCAAACAAGGATGTAAACAATCAATAGGCCTACTTCCCGAACAAGAGGTCTGTCCTACCTGCTCTCCAAAGCCGTCTGGTCTTGGTATTCAAAGTTCAATCAATCAACTCTGAACAAGACAGGATCAATTTATGACAGAACCCAGTGCATTTCTTTCCCGTCATCATTTACAGGAATCAGCTGCAAAAATTTGGTGTGATTTGGCTTTGCATCCAAAACCCACTGATGTCCAGTGTTGCCCGTCTACCTGGTGAATATTCCTTGTTTGTCCACTGATTACCTTGCTTAGCTTTTGCCTAATTCTGTTCGCCTGCTGGTGATTTAAATGGAGATCTGAACACCTTTATAAAACAAGCTTCTGACTAACAAAGTCCTATTAGTGCATGGGTTTAGCAAACTGCAGAACTTCTATCACAATACAGCTGCTTGCATGTCCAAACAATGTGAATGGAAGAGAGAAAGAGCCTCTAAATAGTAATTTTAGTGTGAAGAATCATCCCATATTAACTTAAAATAGTCACTCAAAAAGAAACATTTTCTTGCCAATTTATTTGTGAGACTTCACTTCTAGTCTAATGTGATAACTGAGAACCTATTCTCTGCCACCCATGTGATCAAAATCCATCCTGCCATTCAACGCAAGTTTGTGCAAGGACAAAACACAATGTGATACTCCAACTCAGTGGTTTAGCACTGTCACCTCCCAGCTGTGGGGGTGTTTCTGGGTGCTCCATGCATCGTCTTGAAGCTACTATACTGATGTTACAGAAAAAAACATATGCATCAAATGCATGTTCGGCATTAGCAATCCTCCTGCAATTGCTTGACCAAAGCGCTGGCCTCAGAAATAGAGTTAGTCCCCAATGCTCAACTGACATCCCAATGCTCCTAAATATTTGTCGAGGTCAGAAGCAGTACACAAATTTCTCCGTGAGGATTAAAGGATAATCTAACTTGACAAAGTGAACACTACACGTGGCCAAAGAGCGGCTTTATTTACCAGTAGGCAGAGTTTTTGACTCTTCTCATAAGCAAAACCTTTCCCAGCTTCCCTATTAGTGCGGTTTCTTTAGAACTCTCATTAGCCAGTAGGGAGCTGGTTACTACGTGACTATGTTTGATTTTTTAAATGGATAAAAATGTTTAGGAAGCATGCCACAGATTGTTCAGAGACCTATTATAACTAAACCAAGGCTGCGATGAAATTCAACAAATTGATGTTTCTGCTTTTTTCCCCCTTTTCATCACGCACTGTGCTGTTAGCACGCCTGTTAGCATATTATTGCTTTCTAAAAAGCCTATATTTTTACCAGGAGTACTCTGCAGCTGGGACTGTTTCAGTGCCTTTATTTTATGGGGTTATTTAGCTCTTATTACACATTTGTGTCTGTTTCATGTTTTTAATAGTACATAAAAACACAGCAGTTACAGTATTCATTTGTGAAATAAATTTGACTAATTTCATCTTAAATAATATTATGACTTCGCATTAACGTATAAGGATGTGGAGGGGTGGTACTTTTGCAAGAGGAAGCGCCGCAGAGAACAGAGGCAGGCTGCCAAGACTATTTTATTGTAAAATGACTGGAATGCGTGGCTAAACTTTATTAGGTCACATGTGATGTAGGAATTAACAAGGCAGAGGCATCTGTACCTTTTGTGTGATCAGACAGTAGATAGTTAGTATGAACAGCAGTCCTCCGCAAATGGAGGCGATGATGAAACCAAGCTTGTACAGGTCTCTGACCGGTCTTCTCAGTGAGGCCTTCACTGACTTTCTACCATAACTGTCTGTAGAAAAAGACAAGAAATCTGTGATCTGGATAGCCCCTGATATCTGCATAAATAATCACAGCACTTTCCAGGCAATTGAGGTTCTGACCTGTAAAATGTGTGGGTGACTCTGTGGATAGCTCTGTGGTAGAGTCAAAGGTTTCTGTGTATTCGTGCTGACATCTCCAGTCTACTGGTGTATCGCTGGTCGTGACCAGCTCCCAGTAAACAGACAGCACCTCTGAAGCCCGCTGCAGTGCCTCTGTGGGAGACCCTCTGTAGAGCATCTCAAAACTCTCTGGCTTGTCCTGCCGTATCCAAGAAACATAATTTAAATATTTATCTCCATGTGCTGGGCAGTTTTTTTGATTGATCCGAATTATTTCGAACATGTTAAAATCAAAATGAAATATACCCAAACAAACAAACAAAAACATCAGCAGACACATCAGAATCCCAGTAAATAATTCAGATAACGCAATCCATGCTTCCTCTTATCACATATTTCTTTTTCATGTTTTATATCCTAGAAAATGTAATCCTTCACCCCTGAGAAATAAGCCGCAAGTGCACCAGTCAAAAACACACACTCACCTCGACCTCTTCATTAATCTGTGGCACACATTTCTGAGAATATATGTTGAGGATGAGCGCTCTCAGAGATTGAACATAGTCATCATTGACTGAACCCCGGCTATATTTGAAGTGGGTGGTGAGGAGCTCCAGGATCCAGGGTAAAGCAGCTTTTACAAAGCAACATTTGCTCTGTGGGAAATCAGAGCATGAGGTAATAATCATAAGAAGCACGTACAGTTAATGGAAAGTTTGAATCAATGCTCTCCGAAGGCAAACAGTAACAATAAACAAATGTTACCTTACCAAACTTCTCCGTTCTATGAATGTGTAGGTTATCGAGCACCCGCTTCTCAACTGGTTATCCATCTGCAGAAACAGCACATGTTGTGTAGTGTGATCAATGTCTCTACTTTTGCATCAACAGCTGTTTCTAATGTTGTTTCAACACCTACCAGATGCCTGACTGTAAGCAGGTGCTCCCTAGTGATGGAGTGTCTGCATGGACCAGGGATCTCAGCCATATTCAGAGGGAAGCTCAGGAACATAAGCACACACAGACACTTTACCTGCAACTGACACAAACATACATTATCTTCTCACCCCTTAACACTTCAAGGAGGGTCTGATCCACAGATATTTACTCAGCTGCAAAGTGCACTAGCCCACTGGAAATACTCAGACATTACCCAAGTAGACATACTCAATGGGTTGTGCAACCTAAAATAGCAAAATGGAGCAAATGCTCTCAACCACAAACCCAACAAGGGCGACATTAAGAGTCAATGTGGTAATACTGACATCAAATATTTCCATATGAATGCACTCCACATAGCAGTGTGATCATCTTTCTTTTGTAAGAGAGGAAAGATGATCTTGTAAATTATTTTAAAAGGAAAACCAAGTTCAAAGGAAACTCAAATGGAATTCCCTCCTAATTTGTGCCATACCAGTATAACAGCAGGCATCTGAGCAATTCTTGCCTTTCCATCCACAATCTAGTAGTTCATGGGTAAAAGCTGTTCAGTTGTAGTAACAACAATAGTTTCTTTCCCACTTGTGTGACCTCAGAGGAACCCACCCTGGCGTTAGATAAGTTCCAGCTATGGTCAAATAGTGCCATCTACCATGAAAGCATGGTCAGAGAGCGCAACATGCATGTACTCCGCCTGTAGCCAATGATGTCTACTACCAAGCACCTTTTGGCATCTGTAAGAGTAAAATGGGCTCCAGATGGACCTAATTCTTCTACTCGGGTTTAAAACATGGTGACAAGCATATGTTCCCAACGCTGTGGGCAATGTGTGTGCACTGGAAGGTATTCTGTGATAATCATCCTCTTGACTTGACCTGTGAGTTCAATGCAGCTTTTGCAATAAACAGTTCAGACAGATGCCAGCAAAACACTGAACTGAAACAATAAAAGATGATTTATTTGTTGCCTGGTCGACTTCTGAGATGTATTAAGGCACAAAGGACAATTCTTTGAAAGCCTCCAGAGACCAGAAGTATTCTTTTCACATTTTGCCGTCTGTTCCTCATATAATGCTGAGCTGTACAGTTTAACTCTTGTTTGGGTTTTTGAATTATATTAACATAAACATAAGCAGGTCCTGTAGATTAAATGTCATGATTCACCATGAATCTAAGTTGCTCAATATGTGCACGCCAATCGATTGTCGGGAACTGAAGGAAGGGAAAAGGAAAAATCTTTTGCCATTATGGTTTTAATCAACTATTAAAGCAATTTAAAAAAAATAATAATCTTGAAAAAGTAGCATTTGAAACAAGGAGGATTTAAAAAGTGATTCTCAAAGTAAAACAAGATGCTACGTTTGAAGTGAGGGACTATCACACCAGCCGCCAAGTCTTATTGGAAACCCATTTGATGACTGATGATGACACATAATCTGATTAATGTAATCTAATAAAACTATTGATGTGACTGGTATGTGGCAAATGCAGGAGCACATGATGCAAATGTAACCTATCACATGATTTGTTTTCTCCATGCTGTCCATGATATGTATGTAGGTCAGCAAACTGCACAATCAAGCATCAAGCTTCATACTCTCACTACCACTTGCATGTTCTGTTCTTTTCTCGCCTTGTACTCAGTGAGCTGTTGGACTTTTTACTGCCGTGATTGTAGAAAAGTTCTCACCTACCTTAGCTTTGCTCTGAATCAGGGTTGACACAAGGATGGTCATCTGGTAAGTGTTTGGCAGTGGAAAACACCAGACTCCTCTGTCACACACATTGAAGCAAAGAGATCCTTTTCATAAATTCAGTTCCACTCCACAGAAAGGAATTTGCTGTTAAGTAAATTTGACACTTCGTCATGTGGCGCTGGTCTTCAAAGCATTGCCTGATGTGCTCCTCCTGCACAGAGTGAGTTCAAACTGAGACTAACTGTCTCTGCTGACAGACAGCCCTTTTTAAAGACCTCCCATCTCACTTCTGTTTGACAAGATACAACGTCCTGGTCTCTGCAGATGTGTTTTAACAAATTGGTTTTGGGGTTGTAGATTGGCTGAATTTAATGTATAATCTGGTCAACACGTCTGGCGAGAGTCTTCATGAAGAATTATTAAAAAAGAATAGAAAAAAAGAAAAGAAAAAATAGACAAAAGGACCTTGTGGGAGCTTTAAGAGGGTGCTGGTAACATCTGTTCTTGTTCTTGAAACTCTATCCCTTGAAAGCAGCTTGCATTTAAAACAGTGTTCCGCATACGAACCCTCAGAACAAAAATTTGGTCCAGGGCCATACACCCTTGCTTTCCTCCGTAAATGCTACGACTGAGTGGACACAATTGAGTCAAACGGAGCAAGAAAAATAAGACGCACTCAACACTTCAGCAGAAGATCTGCACATCACTGTGGGTGTCTGCAGAGGCTGACGGAGGCATGCTGCTTGAGGAATCCTGAACTTTATATTTTATTTTAATTTTTTTTTTTTCTGTGATTTTTCTAACTGGATTTATTGAGAAAAAGTGGGTGTGTGCTACTATTGGGAAGACCTGACCAAACCAAGGAGAGAGAGAGAGAGAAATACACACACACACACATTCACACACATTCACATAAACGCCTTTATGGGCTATTTTTGATGGGGATTCGTTCTCATAACAGATCAACGGACTCAAACAGAGAACATAAAAACATTTGGCCTGGGATCTATTAACACAGGAAGTGACTTCTTACACTTTGTATTGTGAACACATTCCTCTTAACAACATCACTCATGTATCTGAATCATTTATTGGTGTCATACTGTGGAATGTAGTGTTGTTTTTCTAGTTTAGAATATGAAATAACTGGGTGCATGTGCTCAAGCAGAGTACTAACACAATCTTGAGGTTACTACAGAGGGAAATTTTAGTTATTAGTTACGTTGGAGATTAACCTCTTACATACAAACATGTGATAAACAAATAAAATATGATGCATTGTTGGAGGTTAGACAACCCAACAGCATTAAGAGTAATTCAAATTAGCTCCACCTCAATAAGCAACAGCATTACATTGCTACTCATATTACAGCATCAACAATAACAGTCTTGAAATCTAATATATATGTATTTTTATTTGTTTGCACGTTAAAAGATGTTATTACATAAGATGTAATATGTACACAAAGACATTTATATAAATGCACTTTAGCCTTCATATACTCATGAATTTAGAGTAAACAAAAGCTTGTGCAGGAGAGGCAGGAAGGTGACAGCTAGAAAGTGTAAAGTTCAGCACTATATTATGCAGTACTCTGTGCCATGTCCCTTCTGCCACAGGAAAATTTGTATTTAACAGTCAGTGCCCATCTGTTTCACATAAACTTCTTTTTTAAATTTTATCACTACTACTTTTCTGTATTTCTGTGTTTTTCTGTCTTTTCAAACATCATGTTTTCTGTTCTGTAGCACAAAATGTCCAGAATAAAACTCCGGGGGTGGGAGGGGGGTTCAAGTTATTGTGGATAATAACTTGGATTATATCCACAATAATTTGACAAACTGCTGACATTTCTGGAATTTCCCCTGGAGTTCCCTCTGATTAAAATGACACAATCGACAACATTTCAAATTAACACTGCCTTTTTACACATTGGCTTTTGTACATATTAAACAAACAAGACATCATGTCTTAATGAGTGAGCTTTAGAGTTGGTGCCAGGCTGATTCTGTCACTCTGGGACACAGTCAGGCGAGCTAATCATCTGCTAGTTCCAGCTTCATACTGAACTGACAAATATAAGAAAGCCTTCCTTATCCTCTCATCTAGCCCTCAGCAAGAAAGCAAATAAATGTAATTCCCATAAATGTACAACTGCAAGCTAAACGAACATTTCTTTTAACATTTCATTTTGCACTGTATGACAGGTTGATCTTGAAACTGTAGTCTTGTATAACTACAGATGAGGAGAAAGACATTGTATTGTCCTTTATAGATTATGATCTTTTCAATAAAGTTTAACACGAAAAGATTTTCTTACACAGTGTTCCCTGGCTTGAAATGACGATAATTATATACATAATACTAATAGTATAAGACCATTTGTTGTTGTAAAGGTTCACCAGTTCAAAAGTAACTAAAACAATATGTAACACTAGATCAGTAATATGGTATAGTTTGGGGTTGTGTGAAGCAATAGTGGGCAATTGTTCAAGGGTCAAGGCATGGATTCTGTGTTTCGAGCTTTTAGCTATAGGTTTATTGAACACATATTTGTCAGAAATAATAAAATATATTATATGTTATGAAACGTCTTTGTGTGACTGGGTGGTTGTTTGGGCAGGTTTCCAGGCCGAATAGTTCTGTTGACTCATACTGAGAGACGTGTTTTTGCAATGGTTTGAAGAGACTGTTGATAAAATGCCAGTGCAGACATATCCACCCTCACCTCACTGAGACAATCAGCAGATAAAATCCAAAGCAGACAATTCATGGATGTGAGAGTGAGGAAGCATGACATCCCTACTGTCATTTCACTGTAGCATTAGAGGACTTTCCTGAGCAATTCAGATAAAAAGAGACAAAAAGATCTGACAAAAGCATCTGATGAATATGTGTGTTTTTATTGTTTTGTTATCTCCCTTGTCTCGTCTGCCTGCTAAGTAAGCAGAAATAACCATCTTTGTCGAGTCAGTCTTAAAATCACCCCAAAGAAGCATGTTTACTCCTTGTGAGTGTCGTAGTTCAGACTCTGGATTCCAGCCCTAAACTATGATTTTCTAGTGACAGAATTTTTTTTTTTTTTTTTTTTTACACCAAAAATAAGTCTTTTTGCCACAGAGAAATAATTGTTTTGATTTGTCAGGGATCACGAGCTGTACAAAGACTTGAAAAGGATGATTTGATTTGGAAAATATAATTGTGGCATTATATCAGCCACTCCTGCTGTAACTGTTGGTTAATAATTGTAAAGCCACAAAATGCAGAGGAAACACTGGTGGGAGACAAGCAATGTCCCTAATCACATGACTGCCACATGTGACGCATAGAGACAAATGTGTATTGTTTTACCTTTTTCTACCTAAAAATAGAAATGTTTATACACAGTCATTCATAATCAATGACAAGTGTTTCTGTGACTGCTCTGGTGTGGCTGTTTGATTCTGCTACAGCAATCTGGTTCTCACTTTCACATGGTCACAAAATGCATTCGACAGACTTGGGCTGAAACAATGGAGGAGCAGTCAGAAGCGAATCAAATTGAAACCCCAGTAAACAAGTTTATTCTTGTTACGTCAGTGCGGTACAGATATGGATTTCCACTGTTGCTGTATGATAATAATCAGTAGACTCACACACACACACACACACGCATTTGCTGGTAAATGCTTATAAATAAAAACATGTTCAGAAGGCGATCAGTGCAACTGGTAGAAAATATTCATATATAGTAGGAAAGCATAGATTTGCAAGAAATGTGAGGATGAGTTCTTTTATGTGCACTCTCTAGCATTTTTTATAAGACAGACTTATTTGGATCATGAGTTTTCATAAAATACAAAGGAAGGGAGAACTGGACAAGGAAGCATCAAGAAAACGTTGGGAGATAGCAGCAAAAATAGTGGAGAAGAAAAACAGGCTCGGTTCCTGTCAGACTGCAGTAGCAAAGCCTATGCGATTATTACGACGGTCAAACTCTGTGTAGTAGCGGGCGATGAAGTTGGCCCCCAGAATCCAGATGGGACCTGTAGGGGGCGGCACATCCAAGCCCCTGAAGGTGACGGTGCAGACGTCCCCTTCAATCTGTGATTGCTGCAGACACAAAGAGTAGTCTAGTTTTATTATGATAAGACACTGCAACAGTAACATATTTACAGCGGTCGGAGAAGCTCGGATTCTTTACATAAGAAAAAGTAGCAAAAAATTCAAATTAAAAACTAAAATTACACTGTTACAAGTAAAAGTCCTGCATTCAAAATCCAGCTTCATTAAAAGAACAGCAAACTGTACTTAAAGTATGAAAACTACAAGTGCCTCCTTTCAGAGAGTTAAATTGGAGCCCACGAGGTCCTGAAACATTTTTATTAGTTTCTTGTAAATGTAAAAAAGATCAAAAATAGTTGTTTTTCAGGACTTCAGGGGCTCTTCTAGCTTTGTTGTGGGACAAGTTGTGACTTATCATTTGTACTAGTACATAGTGAGCTGAACTCCCAGCATGTAGCACAGAGCTACGTGCTGGGATTTTGCCAGAGCTGAAACCTGACTAGGTTTCCACAGGTTAGGTCTCACCACATAACTGAAAACACCTGTTTGCGGGTGCAGGGCATTAATTTCATAATAACAGCTCATATTTTATTAGTCGGTCATATCGTTTTTTGGTAAAAATAAAAGTAACTAGTAAATCTAAATGTCAAATGATTGTAGTGCAGTAAAATGTACTTTTTTCCATCTGAAATGTAGCAGTAACATAACATGGAAATACTTAGTGTAGAGCACCTAAAAATTGTGCTTAAGGACAGTACTGGAGTGTATGTGCTTGGTTACATTTCACCAGCATTTTATATATTAAAATGATACAGTATTTGTCATCCTTACCCATAAGATGTAATCCTCCTGGCTGAGTGAGTACTCCTGGCCACCCAGGTGGAAAGTGACACTGGGCAACGTCTTTACAGTGTCACAGTTGACTTTGTACTGATGGGCACAAATTAATGAGTGATGACGCGTACTGGATTTTTACAGACAAGTGTTTTTGTGTGGCAAAACATGTTGCGTGTGTAAAAACTTACTCCACTTTCATCCAGCTGTGCTCCGATGGTTTTCATCAGCGCAGACACAGAGGAGGCTGGCCCTGTGATGTAGGAGGAGCCCGTGTCGATCACAGCTGTACAGCCCTCTGCACAAAACATCATCTCTGTTCCCACAGAAACTCTGAAAGAATGAAAGAAGAGGTGGAAAATGTAACGCATTTCTGAATGGGTGTGCGCACACACACACACACACAAACAAACACACACACACACACACACACACACACACACACACACACACACACACACACACACACACACACACACACACACATATGTATATGATATGAAGCAAATGTCTTACC